AAAATCAGTACAAATCCTGTAAAAAAAGTTAAACCTGTAAAACACAGGTGAAAACCAGTAGAAACACAAAAAACCCATTAAAAGCAGGAAGAAACAGGAAAAACCAGTTAGAGACCAGAAAAAAACAGTAAAAACCTGTAAAAGCCAAGACCAAAAACAGRGAAAAACACAAAAAAAACCTGTAAAAAAACCTGTAAAAGCAAGTAAAAAAAAGTGAAAACCTGAAAAAATATACAAAAAACACTGAAAAACAGGAATAAACAGGAAAAAAACAGTGAAAAAGGGTAAAAAACCTGAAACACCAATTAGAAAGTAGTAACAAAACCTATTACAGACTGGTAAAAACCAGTAAGAAACAGGAAAAAAAACAGGGAAAAAACAGCTAAACCTGTAAAAAATGTAAAAACCCATAAAAAAACCAGTAAAACCAGTCTAAACCAGTCTGAACCAGTTGCAGATTGGCTATAAACGGTCAGAGTGACCAGGCCAGAACACAGGCAGTGGTCAAGCACCAAGCAGGGGTGGAACTGGAACCAGCCTGAGGGAAAATAGGGAAAAATAATTCTCCCCATTTTTTTTTCCTCATTTTTTTCTCATTTTTTGCCATTTTTCCCCATTTTTTCCCAATTGGCACCTATTTCTCCCCAGATTCTCCTCCCAGTCCATCCCATTTTCTCTCCATTTTCACCCCCAAAAATCAAACTTTTGGCCAGTTTCTCACCATATTGTCTCCAGTTTTTCAAAAATTCCCCCAATTTCTCCCAAAATTCACATCATACCTTCCCCATACACCACCCACAATCCCCAATCCCCATTTTCTCTCAATTTTCACCCACAAAAATCCAATTTTTCTCATTTTTTCCCCATTTTCTTTCAGGTTTTTTCAATTTTTCTTTGCCAAATTTCCCCATTTTTACCCAAAATCATCCTATTTCACCCCAAATTTCCCCCGTACCTTCTCCATGCGCCACCCAGACGCCGAGCGCGGCGCCGTCCATTCCCCGCAGCATCACGGACGGTCCGGGGGTCACTCGGACGGTGACGAAACGCGACTCAAAACGGCCGGACAGGTTTGGCCGCAGAGCCACTGACCCCTGGGGGGACAAGGAACCCTCCTCTGGAAAATAAATTGGGGAGAAAAATCACAAAAATGAGAAAAAATGGGGAAAAATAGAAAAAAACTGAGGAAAAAAATGGCACAAAAATCATGAAAATGGAACCAAAAATGGGGAAAATGGGAAAAAATGGCACCAAAACGGCCAGAGAGGTTCGGCCACAGCACCACTGACCCCTGGGGGGACGATGACCCTTCCTCTGGAACGAAAATAGGGAGAAAAATCACAAAAATGGGAAAACCCAGAAAACATTACAACTATTTTTCCATTTTTCCCCAATATCCTCAATACTCCCAATGTCCCAAATTTTTCTCAATTTTTTCCACATTTATCCACCATGTTTTCCCCATTTTTCCCCTTTTTTTCTCGTTTTTTCCCCATTTTATCCCGTTTTTTCTCTTTCTTTTTGATTTTTCCCATTTTTCCGGTTTTTTCCCACAATTTGTCACCTTTGGGTGGCCCCACCCATCCAAGCAGGGCCATGAGCTGGCAGCCGTTGCACACCCCAAGGCTGAAGGTGTCCGGCCGTGTCCGGAATCGCTCCAGGAGCGCTCGGACCTTGGCGTTGAAACGGATGGAGGCGGCCCAGCCTGGAAWTGGGGAAAAAAACAGGAAATTGGGAAAATTTGGAAAAATTGGGGAAAATTTGGGAAAATGGGARAATTGGGGAAGTTGGGAAAATGGGAAAATGGGGAAAAATACAGAAATTGGGAAAATGGGRGAAAATTGGCAAAAATGGGGAAAAAGCCCCAAATCCTCACCTTTGGCCGAGCCCAGGACGTCGGCATAGCTAAATCCTCCGACGAAGACGAGGCCCCGGAACCCATCCAGGGAGGCAGAGCCCGAACAAAGGTCCTGGGTGGTGATGTCCCAAACCTGCAGGGACCCAAAAAATCCCAAAATCACCCCAAATGTCCCAAAAGTAACCCAAAAAGGGGAAAATATCAATTAGCAAAGGAAAAACCACAAAAAACCCAMAATGAGCCCAAAAATMCCCTGGAAAACCCCCAAATCTCACTGCAAAACCCCAAAAATCCACACCAAATCTTCCAAATTCCACCCCAAACATCCACAAAAATAAAAAAAACCACCAAAGACCCCCAAATGGGCCAAAAAACCCAACATGCCCCAAAACCCCAAATCCCTGCCCAAAACCCGCCAAAACCCCACCCTAAAATCGACGAGAAACCACCCCAAAACCCCCAAAAAT